AATCTTTCGAACAAGAGTTTGGGGTGTAGAGGGCGCAGTGTTAGCGTGGTATATCCGGTGTCCGCTCCGGGCGGCCTCTGCCGGGAACTAATGCTATTTCCGATGAGGACCCGCGGGCCGTGTCGACGAGATTAGGGAAAAAAGACGGGAATTTAATAACATCGTCGACACACGTCTTATTGCAAATAAACACTCGTGATATAAGCCGCCTTTTCCGACTCTACTTTCCGATATGGGATTTTTTATTTGGGCATAATGAAGATACTTTTAAGTGAACGCGATATTAGAAGATAAATTTTATAAGTAAATATGTTACTCATATGAACAAAGTCGCTTGAAGAAATTATTTAGTTATAAAAGGTTTTTTAATCTTACTTTAGGAGTAATTTGATTTATCAGGTTTGATGTTTCGTATACTTAAACTCTTTGTGATGTGATAACATGTTTGATTATTTTCTAAAAGATGTTTGATAATGCCTCCTTTGGAGAAAAAGTATATATAATCTAATCATAAAGAAAATAGTATCATTTTTCCAGTTATTTTTAATTTCCCTCATTAAATTTTTTGCAATCACGCCGTGGCTTCAACCGGTTTTAAAAAAATAATAAAAAATACAAAGCATTTATTGCTTGCTACCCGAGGAAACTAGTTTCAACAACACAAAATCAGGATGCTTATATTATTTATATTACTTTTATCAAACTATGAATATGAGTAATGTAAATTTCATTAGCTAATAAGTCCGCGCGTAATAAAAAAAACTTAATTTATAGTCTATGTATTCTTCCAGAATGTGTTCGACATAAATATCAAATTTTGGATCCATGCAGCCGTTCTGAAGGTACCTTCAAAGAAACATCCATACATCCATCCAAACATTCGCATTTATATTATTAGTAAGATTGCATTAGGTAGATATCGCTTCGAGCAATAGTACAATATGATAAAACAGAATAAACAACGGGAAGGTAATTATCGTACATCTCAGATTTCTTCGTCGGCGTTAAAGTTAATAAGTTATAATTATTTTATTATTTCACATTATTAAGTATGTACTATGGATATTAATTACAGGTTTTGACCGTGCGTTTACATGGTTGAATGGCGCGTATAAAAACATCTCATTTTCACAAAAAAAAAGGTTTATTTGTTTTAATTTAGGGCAGATAAAGCCACCGTAAAAGATTTTTATCATTCTCTTATTTCGGAATGTTACGATTAAGTTTGATTTAGCATGATTAGAATTATCTATAGCTCAGTTTATACAACATTGTGAATAAACAATATCGAAGCGAAGACCCCAATAGTGGTGAGTTACACATTCACAACAAAAGTGAGTAGTTTCCTGCAGCAAACTTGCCCACTGAAACAAGTTTGTGTGTTGAACCGCATTTGTCAGAGTTGACTGCAAGTTCCCGTTTCGATTAGCATCGACACCAACTTGGACTTACTTGAAGATTTTATACATATTATATAATTCAACATGTTCAAAGTTGCTTTAATTTTTGAACTCTAAAAGTTTGATGCAATTTGAGTTAAGTTCTAGTTTATTATTATGTTGTTTATGATGTTTCTATCATTCCTCAAGCATGTTGAAACTTTCGTAAGGTATTCTTAGGAGGCTAGATAAATTAGAGCTAGGCTATTAAATTTGTGCCTTATAAATTAAAAAAAAATGTGGCTATGACATTTTATTTTATTACTACACGTCGCCTGCGACTCCGTCCGCGCGGAATTAAAGAATACTTAATTAGTAGCGTATGTGTTTTTCCAGATTATGTTCTATATGTATGCCAAATTTCATCAAGATCCTTTAGCCGTTCTGGAAATACCTTCAAACAAACATCCATCCATCTAAACATTCGTATCTATAAAAATTATTATGATGTTATAATTGTAACATTAGTAACATATATCTGGTATTTTATCATTGTTTTGAGTTACAGACGGTATCGGCTAGTTCATTATGAAATTTTCATTTTCATCATGTGCTCAATATGTTGAATTTTCAAATATTTTAAAACAAAGCTTATGAAACGCTGCAGCTGGCATTCACTATATTCATTATTACTTTGAATTTAAATTTCGTTCGATATCGTTGTTATTAATAAACTTGAATGGCAAAAGCTTGTATTATTGAATATTTGGTATTGTGTGTGTCGGTGTGTAACAGCGCGGTCGCGGACTACGCCACCTAGTGGAATGTCCGCGGAATTTCATTTCGTTAGCTCGCGTCCGGGCTTGCGGATTCCTGCGGTTGGCGCTCGCTCGGCCCATTGCTGATTTTGTTCGACTGTACGCAATCGAACAAAATTGTGATATACGTCACTCAATTACTAAGACTGTAGATAATAAAGTTACTAGCTGCCGGCGCGGCATTAAAAAAACTTGTGTTCTTCCAAACTATGTTCTACATCTGTGCCAAATTTTATCAAGTTACTTTTAAACAAACATCCATCTATCGATCCATCTATCTAAGCATTAGCATTTATAATATTAGTAAGGTTTACTTAACAAAAATAACATATAATATTGATACCGTTGAAAGCAACATTATGAAGCTGAAATATTTAAGTGCTCTTCTACAAAGACTAGATAAGATTATTACAGTTTATATCAAACATTTTATATCCTAATTGGATACATTCTTCTCAATTTGAGCGTTCCATTAGACAGGACGCTTTACTCATAAAATAACAACAAAGCAAAATTGAACAAAATAACGTTCCTTCGACTATTTTTATATGTACTCATATAATCTTATGACTTTAAATATTTACTTTAAACCTTGAAATTTTTCGTTTTTCCAAACTAGCTTTTTGTTACTCTTCGCCCAATGATTTTGATAAAATTACATTAGTAAAGATTTTGTTTGTGTTGAGCCGACGACTTAGGGGGCTTCAAGAAAAGAGCGTACACCTTCCTTAAAGGCCGGCAACGCATCTTCGGTTCCTCTGGCATTGCTGATGTCCATGGGCATCGGATCAAATTATATTAGGCGATTCGTTGCTCGTTTACCCCCTTCTCCTATAAAAAAATTGTTTAATGATGTTTATTTAAAATATCATTACTTTATTTCTCGATAGAATATTGTAAATTGGTTTATTTGATAATGGGTGTCAGATGTTGTAAGTAGCTGATAATATTCAAAATATTTATAATGCTCTCAAAGTATTAAGGCGAGGCGAGGCTGTTGACGCGGCTGCTCTTGCTAATATTGCGTTATACCTTATCGAATTTGCATGTTTTTACTGAATAACATTCCTTTGCCGCTGCAGAGATCAAAGGCCGAGGCGAAAGTGATTTCTCACCGAGTTAGTCGAACAAGATTCAGTCCCCGCCCCTCCTATCTGGCTCCTGAATAATTTTGATGTAATAAGGAAAATTGTAAATGGGCATTCGACTTTTGATATTTTATACAGAACATGAACTGCGTACGACTTTATGATTTATTTAATTTATTCTAACCTTATTTCTTAATGTAATTTTTATATTAATTTTGATGTATTACAAATTGTAAGAGGTATTCGTAAAGTGATAGATGTAAAATGTATTATTACTTCCTATATTCTTCCTCTTCCTTTTACTAGATTAGAATTAATTATTGGGACGTCTATTTTTCTGTAACTCTATGGTCTAAATATTATAAAAGGTACAATAAGTGACTCGTTTAACTCGAATACTTGCATCGACAGTAACAAGCGTGTAAAAGTCACCTTAAGGAGACGGTACATGGTCGGTGAGAGAATGTATGTCCTGTTGAATATCGATTTCAAATAAAATCGCAACCTTTTCAGATAACGAGGTGACATTTCCCCTATCCGGGCCCCGTTTGTCGACGGCGTCGCACATTGCGAATTTATCCACCGAAATAAGGAGATAACGAACATAATGGTTAAGAGGAGACGAAATACGGGAACGATTGGCTCGAGCTGCCAATTGTACAACCACTTACACGAGCTAAATAATATTTCCCTTCGACAATTATTTATATGTGAATATGATCCCGATTTCTAGGGATAAGACCCGTCGGTTTTGTATAAAGTATCAAAGTAATCTGAAAACGCTATGTAGCAGCAAATAAATATGTTTATTATTACACAGATGATGGAATTACATAGATCATGAAATGAGATTTTTTCGAATAATTGTGTACGTTACTCTCAAGTTAGAGCGTCAGTAACTCAGGGGTGAAGCACTTGACTTGCAATCTACAGGTTCTAGGTTCGAATCCCGCCATGTACCTATGTGTTTTTTTTCGATTTTACGATTTACATATGTACATTTATCCGACGTTCCTACGGTGAAGAAAAACATGTGATGCAACCTGCACGTATCTGAAAATAAATTCAAAAGATATGTGTGAAGTCAACCAACCCGTATTGGTTGACTATGGCCTAGTCACCCTTGATTTGAGGGTAGGCTCCGAGCACCTCGGTGGGGACGTGTAGTGAGCTGATGATGACTCTCAAGTTAATATAAAATCCGTTGTATTAATTTTTTTCGATATATAAATGTAATTAATGTAATATATGGCGAAGAATATGATTGAAGGCGACTACGATAATGTCTTAATGATGTCCGGCCGTCGCCTCGCCTACACTTGTTGCTTAGTCGACCCACATTGTTTAGTTTGTACTGCCTAATAACATGTCCTTCTAGCTCTCTACAACACTTCGATTTCTATCGTAGATGCTAAAACTTTTATTTGATTTTCTTTTGAATATTATGCTTTGTTATTTTCATTGACCTGACTTAATTTAATAAATAAAAGCAGAGTAATATATAAACGGCTAAAACACTCGCGTATATTAGTCCGGTGCCGGCACCGACTAGTTTCGAGTCCACCAGGGGCTCTTCATCAGGGTGAGTGGGACTGGTATTATTCCGACGGGCCGTGTCCACAAAAAATACCAATCCCACTCCACCAACTCTCAAATACACTTAAAGACTTTTTGAAAGACGTTGATAACTAAAATGAATTTTCTTTTGTCACCAGATTCTTCTACCTGTACCACTTTTCGTTCTACGCATATCACTACCGCTTCAATGGACAGTACAGCAGTCTGGCTTTGGTGACCTCCTGGCTCTTCATCCAAGTGAGTATTCTATGTTAGAATCATTTGTTTATTACCCGCGGTCGAGTCGTAAATCAAAGGCCCAGTGAACTGCAAACCTGTGCCTAAAGGGCATACCTTTTGCAGTCTTTTGTGTTATTACATGAAGGCAATGTGAGAACAAAGATACTTGTGACTTTAATAAATTTAATAATTACTAAAGTCTATGGTATATAGTAACATAAGGACGTATTTTAGTTATGCAAATGATTTTTTTTTCATTGACGAAAGATAAAGTATATAGGTATTTGAAAACATCGCAAGCACGAGATTAATATGTTTTTAGAGAGCCGTGTCGTATATCCAACATATGCGGCATGTATTTGTCAGCGGCAGTTTGATACAGCGAGCGAACGCCGCGGGCGGTGTCCGCTGTCCTCTCCACCTCGGACAGTTAATAGATAAACTGGTTGTCTGTACGTTATTAGCTTTCCGTTGCTCCTCCGTGACTGTTATTAATATTGTACCGTTCAAAATCGCTCGACAACAACCCTCTCCTTAAATGTAAACTTTAGAACGTTTAGACACTCTTATCACGTAAAAAAAAAGGATGAGAAGTGCAATCTTTCTTAAATATTCTTATTTGGTAAATATGTAGAATATAATCTGGAAGAATTCATAGACAATTATAAAAAACGTTACAGAACGAATACTGTAATATAACAAATTCTAATTGGTAAAACATAATAGGGTACCCTCACGAGATCTTAATTGGTCACTAAGGGAGACCGTTAATGAAAATTTATAATACTAAATCTCCACTTACCGAGTCTATTTTGTAATCTAATAGGTATGCGAACGTTGTGTTATTTTCGCATCAGTTGAACATCATCGTTATTATTTTTCAAAGCTCCGGAGTGGAAAAGCGCGGCTGAGTTGTGGGCATTTGTCAACAAATCACGTGCCGTTATTGTGAGCTCGTCGCTCTCGACGTCTATCACCTCACGGATCTTTACTGTTACGTTATAAAATAAAACATCAGTTGTCGACTATATTTTTCTGACTTAACTAGACTCAACTGTTTATTTGTAACTAATTGTAGACGATTAAAACGTAAATGCAAAGTCACTTATTCGTCTTCTTCTTGAGGTGCCTCTCCGATTAGCGAAGGTTGGCGATCAGTTCTCCATATTTTCCTTTGTCTCTTATTGTCAAAAGTCACTTACTGCTTAGTATTTTATTAAAACGAAAAATTTAATTTTGTAAAGTGGAATAATTAAATTGACCCTTAAACTTATCTTGCTTGCTTGTCTTCCATATTATCTCACATTCCAAATTTAGAAGTTTATATTCTATCGTAGCTCGAAGAAAATCCTGTAGGCTTTGGTGGGTGTAATATTTTTTTCTCAAAGAATTTCATCATAACGTACTTAGCAAAAAAACATCTCATTTTGATTGATTAACGACGCGTTTCCACGGTGTGTGATTCTACGACGCACGTATCGTCGAAACAGTGTTCATTGTGTCCGCTTTCGCCAGAAGCTTGATTTCATAAAAATGATGATGCTAAGGTCGTCGAATGTTCAAAGTTCATCCGTATAATAACGCATAATGGAAACCTACCTTAATATGTTTTTGTATAATATTGTCATTTCTTTTATATCTTGAATATAATAAAATAGATTATCTTTTCTCGCTTCATATATTCAGAATATGTTTCGGAATGAAATATTATCTCCACCTGTTAATTAACGTCCTGTTAGTTTCGCGAAACAGGGTGTAATTAGTAAAAAGAAATAATTATCTTTATATAAATACGTCCGTTGTTGCGTATCGTTACTCGAACCAATTAAGATATATCGTTTACAATAATAATGCTATTCACTAATTATTTTATAACGTTTTCCGCTCGGTGAAATTGTTTTTAGATCTTTTTGTTTTTAATAGTATACGAAAAAACATTAAAAAATTGAAAAAGTGACTAATATTATAAATTTAAATATTTGGTTTGATTGATGGATGTTAGGTATTCTTAAAAGAGCTGCTTGAATCTCGCTGAAAATAGGCATAGATGTAGATAGGTAGAACATATACTAATTAAGTTTTTTTTTTATTTCCGCGCGGACGGAGTTGCAGGTGACAGCTATATTTTATTATAATTTATAATCTATGCCTACTTCTATATCATCTCCTTCTCATAATAAAACAATCCACCTAAAAGTTACTGAAAAATCACTTATATAACTTTGTCTACAGTTAAGTCAAAATAAAGCAGCTTCTGAGTGTAGTTTTATTTCAAAGATTGAGTGTTCCGGTTCGATTTCCGGCCGCGTCGTATACGGAAGTTAATAACACGCCGCGCTGACCACTCGGAGCTCTGTCCACTGTCCACTGCCCAATGCCCACACAGCCCACTTTGCCCACACTGCCCACTGCCCAGACCGTTGTTTGCGACTGACAAAAAATAACTCTTACTTTCCCATCTCAATATTTCATGTTTGTTTTGATTGCTTTGCCTTAATATTTTTAAACGTTATGTTTCTATTTGTAAGTATTGTCATCTTGTTTTTTAATTATTTTATAATAGATAGATTCTGTTTCTCTATCGTTAGATTCGATTATGTTGAAATAAAAAAGTATTTAAAGTGCTTTTTGAGGATCGGTGAATTCTTTATCGATAACGATATGCAAAAGTGATACGAATTTGAGATTTATATTGAAATTCCATGATGTAATAATGATAACAGCAGTGTTGTATTAATTTAGTATACTCACTCCGCGTAAGAGGGATAGGGCCCGAGGCGAGGAGCAATGAGTAGGCTGTAAGGCGAAGTCAAAAAACAAGACGGGTCCGTGGAATGCAAAGTCGGGGCCTATCTTATAATCATCGAGCGTGTCAACTTATTAATAAAAATCATATTTCACGAGGTCGGTGCCCTTCCCCCTTCGAACCCCGTATACCCCTCGCGCCCCGGGCTACGCGACGGGCATACCATTTCCTACTGACGCCGCTTTCGGTTCATTCATTTTAACATCAACGATCAATAAGCTTAGTAATAATTTAATTTTTTAAATCAACAGTTCAATATTACAGTGAAATTTACCTTTGACACTCAAAGATCCGTCGTGGGACGACGGATCTTTGATCTCAGATAACACCTAAAATATTATTTTTGTATATAATTTTGTAGCTAGTATGAGAGTTAAAACATGATTAAATATATGTAGATCTCTAATAATAGTTCAGCTATTTCTACAAAGTCCTAAATCAACAGGCTCGTCCGCTATTACCAAAACATGGCCCTAGTGTAATAATCGTGCAGATCTCTTGCAAATTATGGTTAAACTTAGAGTAAACACTCTTAGTGATTTACCTAACAAAGAGGTAATTCATTAATAATAATCTCTTAATATAATTATTATTCAAATTGGAGGTTACAATTTATGTCATTACTTTTGACGGATAGTGTACAGTGAGCTGCATAAATATTAATACATTAATATAGCTTCAACATCAATTTTTCCTTACGTATTTTTGAAACCCAAGACCATTACATGTTTCTAAAGTTTTTAGAGTGTATAGTTATTTATGCAGCTGACTGTACGGGTACTCTACATACTGCACCAAAATGAAAGCTTATTGTGTCCGTTTCGAAGCTTCTATGATATTACAACTCAAACAATTTTTAGAATATGCTAGTCCTATATTCCATAACTTTCGTCTTAACTTTATCAAAAATTTTCATTTGTTCGGTTCAATCCAAAAATTATGAATTCAAACTTTAGGTTATTGTTATTGAAATGGTTATGTGTATCAGAGGTCATTTGATGTTAAATGAACCACCCGATTCTCTTTTTTATCTTCTCCTAAAGCGACATTCTTTATTAAAAAATATAACCGTTGCATATTTCAGAGAGAAAAAATCTTTTACCTGACAAAGTAAAGTTCTTTACAGTCCGTTGTGTTTTTTATTTGCGTTTTAAATCTAAATAACTTTATTTTCGTCAGAATTTTCTACCGTCTTGGCATAATCAACGAGCTGCTCGTAAAGTATTTGAGGCGACTGTCGGTAAAAAAAATTATCTCAAAGAACATTTTTTGCCATTTTCTCTCTCATTTAAAATTAAATGAATAAATATGTAACCTTTAGATAAGTTTACTGATAGAATTGTAGACAGTTATATTGCATTTTACATTTTTAATAAGAATTTTCGATTTTTTTTTGTGTAAAAATTAAAAATATAACTTAATAAGAGTGGTTCGGTTTAGTTTATTCCAAAAATTTGGACCAAGTTTAATGATTTTTTTTAAAATAAAATAATTCACAATTATGGGTACCGATATAAAAAATCCAAATATAACGTATCGACAGAAAAAACTCATGGCTACAAAGAGCAAATACTTTAAACTAAATGAGTAAGATCGTCGTTTCTCAAAACACCCCAACCATAATGAACACAAAACAAAAATGATTTAAAATTGATAAACAAAAATTCGTGCCCTATTCACTTACCAGCAGCTGTCTATTTAATAGGGGTTGAGGTAAATCTCAAAGCGGCCGTTTTAATGGACGTTAAAAAGGACATCATCTCTGTCCATTAAATACCTTTTAAACGTTTGATCCTTTTTATATTTGCAGTAGCGATGTTCGCAACCAGATTTGGGATATGGACGGATCGCGTTAATTAAGGCATCACTGCCGCGTACTGTACGTCAGTATTGTAATCGCCTAACTGACATTTTTATTCATATCAGCCTACTATGACGACGGCTTTCGGTTAATTTAGAATCAATTCTCCTTTCCAAAAAGTTATGTAGCTTTTTATAAACATACCAAATTTATATCACAAGGCTTACTTTAATAGTATAAGAGGAATTTTAAAATTACTGTTAGTTTTCTCGTTCAGTAGAAATCGTATTTTTTTTTCAATTATCTCGTGGCGCTGCACGCCAAGAATAATAAATCATAAAGATGTCCCAACTTGTCCTCGACGTTAACCCGTTACACCTTCTCGCTGTTCGAAAAAAAAACTCAAAACGAGGGGGATCAGAAATATAATTTCAAATAAAAGTTGAGTCGGAGCGGTCACAAGTTTCTTAATTAAAACTTACGTCTGGTGCCATGAGGGGAGGGAACTTTGACCCAGAAATAAATAAATAAAGACGCGACGCCAGTACTGTCATGAATTGCTCATTTATTTGCCTGCAGAAGTTTTACTGTGTGCTATCGTTTTACCTGAGGAGGCGCAGCTTCTCCAAATTTCTTTAAAACTTTTATCTTACCCTTTGTCACCCACGATTACAACATTGATTAATTTATTATTTTATTTGCAGCACTCCATGTTGTACTTCTTCCATCACTACGAGTTGCCTGTAATACTACAACAGGCTCATCTGCAGCAGCTCCTACTCCGGTCACACCATGGTATGGGAGGCATGATGGGGCTAGCGGGAATCGCGGCTCTGGCCAGCGGCGCAGCCTATCACGACGCGCCGGGAACTGCCACGCAAGCCACTCCGCCCACCACACAGTCAACCACACAAACTGTACAAAACACCGCTCAATCTACAACTCAAACTTCGCCGTCGGTGTCCACCGCGCAGACTAATACGACTCATACGGGTGATGTTATGCCAACAAGATTGTTGTCCCCGGAAACCACAGCAACGGGAACAAACACTGTCAATGATACAATTACACCTTCGCCGGTGTCTAATCAACATAATGATCTAATAAGGAACTCCGAAAAGAATACTTCTATCAACCAGGTTGGTGACAACGGTATGAAAATTGAGGAGATTGCAAGAAAAAAATCTGACAGTGATATCGGAATGGTGAAAAGTAATAATTCGGCTGCGGGCGATTTCGAAATCACTAAAAAACTTTTGCCTGCCGCCGCTAGAGATGAGAATGTCAACATTAGCGTCGCCAAAGCTGATGTGGCGACGTTAGACCGCAGACGAAACGAGAACATGGGGTTGGTGGCGGACGAGCCTCCGCCAGGCAACGTGGCGACTGCGGTTAGGCTGGCTCCCAGAGCTTCCCCCGAGGCTGACGACTTAGATTAGAACACTAACATTGATATAAACCGCTTTGAATATGAATATTCAGTTTATATTTATCTGTTTCAGCTTAGAATAAAGTGTAAAATTCTTGGTCAAAAATTATTTATAATAATTAAATGGGATGCTTAGACGGTACTTATTAAAAATGTTAAGAGGGTAAGTGAGTATAAGATGGATATATAAATATTAATAAAATGTTTATTTCTTTTAATCGATGCGAAGCCATTTTCATTGTTTAACTTTGCTACAGTTGATCTTTAACATTGGTTCTTTGTGAACCGATTTATTAACTATATTTACATATAGAGAACAAACTATTGTAGTATTTAGGCTCATTAGACGTTAGTTTCAAAAGGAATTTTAATCTACAGTACATTTTAACTGAAGCTTTGTGATGTGTTACTTCTTTCTTAGTGGCAACTCGGAGAACTATCGTTTCTACAAAAGGTGATTGTATTGTTTAAGCCATCGCTGCCATTATTACATCATATGTAAATATTTAGGTAAAGTTATATTTATTAGGATTTTAACGTGTTTGTAATTTGTTACTTTGGAACATGCTTGCAAGAGCTGGAAGTCGGCGTTGTTTTTTCTTACAGATATTTAGTTGATTGCATTAAATATTTCATTAAAAGTTGACTATTATTTTCTTCCTAAACTTATTCTTCTAATAGTATAATTTATTTTATATATTAGTGTCCACATTTGCACTTATTATAGCTTTTAAATGAATTTTAAATTATTTCATGTCTGTACCCAACGAATTTTTGTTACATTTATTTTGGAAAGTAATAAATAAATAGTAGTTATAGGCTTTTTCTGTACTTTCTTGATAAAAAATAAATTGTCGATCAACTTCTATTACGATCGGTTTAACATTTTAAGGGAAGAAATAAATGAAAGAAATATTTGTTTACAAATGTGTTGTATTTACAAAATAAATTTACAAAATTATTACAAAATTATTGTAAAATTATTACAATGTTATTACAAAATTATTGAAAAATTATTACAAAATTATTACAAAATTATAAATTAATTTTGTAATTAGTTAAATATTGAGTTAGATTTGCACTTTTATTACAATTTATTTACAAAACAATATTTGTTTAAATTTAAACTTCTGTGTTTGTTACATTAGCTTCTGCGCGTTCTCAGTATAATCTGTAACAAACATAAATTTATTTAAATATTTATCATTCTCATACCAAATATAAATAATCTTACTCATATTACACAATAGAGAAGTAGACATTTGTTCTACAATTGGTAAATCTATGGTTTTGTAAGTTAATAGGTAGCTGAGATCGTTGAAATAAATCAAATTAAAAAATATACTATACTTTGTCCTAAACGTTCTAACTCAAACCTTTAACCATAGACAAACAGCATTTTATGTTAAATCTCGTAAATTCCAATAATCTTTGGTACAAGACTATTTCACTGTAAACTATACAATATTACCCACCCGTATTTTACAATAGCCACTTTTCTTTACTTAATAATTTTTACAAAATACCTAAAAAGTCAAACTAATACAATACTTAATGACTGTATGTGAAATTCGAACTTTCTCTATTTCAGCTTGGAAAGAAAACAAAGAATACTTTTTTTTATCAAATTAATACTTGATTTACTTACGATTTCTTGCCTTCCACAATGGTCAACAAAATATATTGCTCTGATGACCCGACGTAGCCTGCGTTTTCTGCATTCGCCCACGTTCTCTGCATTTCGCCCTCGTTCTCTGCTTTATCGCCAGCATCTACAGCGTCTGAGAAAAGTAAATAGTGTTAGTTACATTCTTAAAGAAAAAAGATTACGAGATAGAGTTTGAGGTACTCAATTATTTCTAATAAATATTAACATTACAGTAATTATAATAATTAATATGAAAAACAAGTCCGAATCTTGTGTGCATTTGACAGAATGAACGATAATTTCAATAAAAAACAACCTTTTAATAAAATCACAACGTAATATAATACATAAATACATACATAATATTAGTAGCAACAGTAGTAATGTAAATACATATTAATTGTCATATCAGTTATATATTACAAACAATATTATAATATTTACATAAGTTATACATAAATTGAATTCCTTGTTGTAAATTTTAAAATATTAATTAAACCCGAGTGATTACCCATATCACACGCCGGGGAAGAATACGAATCGAATGACAACGCACTAATCTTAATCGATTCACCGTTGGTTTTTATGATCAAAATTTCTGTATAAAACATAACGTGACCTCTGTCATTATCTTTGATAAAACATAGAGTAACATATAAAGAGATAACATGTTTTTAACACGGATTTTGATCTTGGAAATCCACGGCCAGTCGTTTAGGCTCTAGGTCGTTTCGAATGAATTTACATACATATTAAGCATACAGAAAAACTTACATACCGATGAAAATCAACCTTTCTCTTGTAAATGGTTTAAAATAAATTAGGAATTAATACAGATATTAACACAACGTGCACACAATTACATACACATGCTATAATAATGTAGGTATATTTTACCAGAATATAAAAACCGTAGCCATATAGCGGTAAAATATGAAACTAATTTCTTTACACATATTATAGATCTTATAAAGAAGGCAATTAAGGCGCTTTGGTGCCAAGATTTTTATATTATTAGTGAGGCTATATCATAATTGCTTCGCAACATCCTGTTTTCACGACGCCGTTTCTTGTAGTAGACTTAGCATTGCATTAGGACAAGAAACTAATGAGCCGCATACTATAGCCAATACGAATATCTCAAACCCGGTACTATAATGTAGTTCATTAGATATTTGTACGAATGCAACATCTAAGCTTCCTGCAACATCTTCTATATATCTTCAAGGACTGTTGATTCTCTCCTTGACAACTACGTGTATTCTCAAGCAATAACATCTCGAAATGTGTGTTAATTCCCCAAGAATACGCGTGACCATCAAGTATGATTTATATTCGTCCTGTTGTTACTGCAGCGATGAATCCTTGGATACTTGTAGCTTACCAACGATGGAAGTTTTGTATCGTTAATTCAATCTAATCAATTTTGACATATCGACAGAATTTTTTTTTACAACAAAATTACGTACAACATATTTTTTGTATAAATTATCCACAATTGAAAATTATATTAATTGAAAATCCCTAAAATCAATTCATTTAAATATAATGACTTTAGTTTTTTGTATTCAAACTAATTTCACATTAATTGAATCATAAAGGCTTACAAAGCACACATATTAATAAACATATAACGTCAATACGAAATATTGTACCAAATAATATTTGGTTTTACTCATCTGTGTCTGAAGTTTATCCGGGCATTAACCGGGTCGAAATCGAACAAGAAGGGCAGTGGGACTAATCGCTGTATAGAGTGCGTCGGCACGAACACTGCTGTCGGCACATCCGGGCATAGACGGGTAATCCGGTCTCCGGAACACACCCGGATACACTCCCGGACATCACGCGTTGTCCGGGTTTAACTGCGAAATGAAACAAACGCATGATGGTCGAGATAAATCGTCGATCCTCGAGGTAAAGCCCTTGTATTCATCTACAGGATGTTTCATGAGATTTCCTACGATTGCAAATATCCTAAAAACCGTTTAAAATGTAAATAAAAATTGCTTATTTTAGACTTCTACTACATTATTGAAACATATCTAAAAATATTTTTTTAAATTGTTCCGATACGGACACTATTTGTGCTCAAAATTAAATTCTCAAAGAAAATAATTTAAAGAAACTTAATAATACTCTGGAATAGCGTTAAGTAGTGAACCTCGGAGACAGGCTATTTTAATAATGTTCCCCTTTCCTGAAAGCGCTGAGTAGAAAATTAAACACTATTGACTTTTTTCCTAGACTTTCAAGATATTGATCGAAAAAAATCTCCTTACACTTTATGAAGGTATTAGTAAATAAAGTTATCACAAAACGAAATAAAACGTAGGTTACTTTACCGTCTTAATGTAAGAGGATTTCGCTTCCTTTAACCTAAATGGTCCTTTTGATCTCTTAACAAAATAGATGAACCACAAAGAGCAACTAATACTTTCTTACCACCTTATAAAGACGATTTTTAACACCTTTTCATCTGGCCGTTGATCTCCAGCCGACAATCGGATATCAAACGTTTACGTGGAGGTTTTAGCCGGCTGTGTTATCTAGGGGCGGCCCCTTTGATCCATGCGGCGGCCTTTGAAGTCGCGCCCTTTGTGCTGCTCTCCGCCCGACCTGTGAAGACGGTTAAGATATTCTGTGAGGACACTATTTTCAAACAACACAACAGTCCATCTAAAAAGCATTATTTATAGGGTATTTTTTAAATAAAAAAAACATTCGTACTGACGGAAAGTACATTGATAAATATTATGGTTGGAAAAATAGCTATTTTAACGTTATTTCGATTCGAAATATTAGTTCGCATATTAAAAACATTAAGACGTCCAATTTCAACAATTACGTATTATTATCTAGCTTTCGAGAATCGGTGCGATACGGGTCGTATCAGGGCAACACCACTCTCACGCAGCACTGTATCTTGACTTGGCAGTGACCAGGAACCTGCAAACGTTAAATGAGGTTGTAAACCAATTAAAAGAGAAGTTTATTTTATCATGTAAGTGAATTAAGTTTTTAGTTCTACATCCTAAAACCTTTATTAAGTGAAATATTAATAAAGCTTTTAGGATGTGAAAGACATGCGAAAAGAAATAACAATACGTAATTAAACATAACGTAAACCTAAGGCAAACTGAATTGTTTCTAATACTTTTCTATGTTCTATTTTTTATATATATCGTATGTGGAAAATAGGCTTGTGTTGAAATATGTATGTAAACTGTATGAAATATAGCAGCACGGGGACACATTCGAATGGCCAGATGCATTTTCATTGCAACTTCCATGCCCGCCGTGCCTGATATTTACTAAGCTTTTAAAGGTTTTCATTTTTGTTTTTAAAGCAAAATATGATGAACAATATGTTACAAAGGGATTTAGTGATAAATATTGAATTCAAATTTATATAACATAAAGTTAAAGTAAAAAAAAGTGTACCTAAAAATGCAAAATGTATCTCATTTCAACCGATACCTTTTAATATCGATATTCATTCGTAAAATTATAGCTTAAAAGATCACTTGTAAATTACTCAACAAAGAATGAAAGACCTTAAAATGTTCAAAGCGAGATTTTTCCGCGGCGTCGTAACTAAAAGCTTTTACAATTCGCCCGCTTACAATTCGTCCTCGGGCGTGCGGTCGTACAAAGCAAAATTAATTTTAAAATACACCAAAAGAAATTAACTTTCATCCCGCGACCGGAGAGAGGTGAAAGTTTCCGTCGGGGGAACTTCGATAGACTTAAAAATAATAAAGAGGACGTAAACGTGCGCTGCGGAGGGAAACATCTTCTCTTTAAAACTTGAGACTTTGTTTTCACGGATGTTGGTAGACATATCATTATCAATTGAAGATATTTAACCAGACCAGACTAAAATACTGATTGCTTGTTATAAAAATTATGTTTTTTATGGCTTTGAATTACATATACTATTAAACCTTACTGGCGTAAACCATAATATTATTAAAACGTTGGTAAATAG